CAGCCACAGCAAGAACACCATTGCTGTTGGGCCCTTGAGCAAGGCCCTTAACCCCACATTGCTCCCAGGGGGAATTGGCCCTTGGCTAGCCTAATCAACTGTAAGTCACCTTGGATAAAAGCATCAGCAAAATAATGATAATGTAATGTAATAAGTTGGTCCAATGGAATAGGCAAGAGGTGAATGATATTACCAATGTGGTGTAGAGAGAAGCAAGTGCTAAGCATTGCTTAGATACAACTTCCTCCTCCTGACCCTATTGGAGATGTAAAAAGGCTTAACGAAAATTAAGACATGCAATTCATAATCTAATTTTAAAAACCACACAACATACCAAGTTGCTCACCTTCCAACCAGTCTCTTTTAGGCTGCATATTAGCTGTACCTGGGTTTCAATTAGCCAATCAACCACACGCCAAAACAGCTAATGAATACTTTCAGATTACAATAGGTAATTAGTGATTGACAGAATCGAGTGAAACCGCATTCTTATGAATTCAATTAAAAATGAGAAATAAAAAATGTTCTGATCTCAGAGAGGAGTCAGTAGTCAGTCTTTCACAGGAGACAACTGCTTGGTGAGACTCAGAAAAGAGCAGTTTGTCAGAATAGGGAGGGAAAGTGTAATGGGAAATGTTTAAACTGAATTATTTTGAGTATAAAAAAGGTTTTAGTCATAGTGATTAATAAGGCACATAAATATGGCGTGGGAGGCTCTGGTATATCACATATTGGCAGGGCTGTGTGGTGCATCTCTTCAGCCTAAAGTTTTCGGGAACATTCTTGCTCCTTACCATCACTGTATTTTCCCTAAACCCCCCTGACTTTATTACAGAATTAAATTACAACAGTTTAGTTCACAGAAAAATGAATTAATGTTTTTATTTAAAAAAATGCAGGGGTCAGTTAATCATTTCGTTTTAAAAAATGATTTTTTTGGGATAAGCCGGCAGAAGGCCTTCATCAGCTGAAATTTGAGTGCCAAGAAGCTCTAAACCGGAAAATTAGACTTTTGCCACACAGGAGTAATTGCTGTGAGGCGTAATATATGAAGGCCTTCTTCTCTGTGGAGTATTTTGTTTAGACTATGTGAGCTCTTGTTTACCGCAACGGAGGACATTGTACTTATATTTCATATTATTTGGTGTTTATTGTATTCTATGCCTCAGGTATGTTACTCTCTCAGGTATGATTTTATATTTCTTCATGCAGTTAAGGTTTTTACCATTATATAACATTATATATAGGAATGTTAGGATATATATATATATACGTTTCAGCATCGTCATTGCGATGTGTGCATACGTGATAGTCACACTGCAGGACGTGCGATGTCAAGCAAGGCAAATTAACTCAAACACGTCATGCTACAACTTCTTGGCTGCTTGATACAAAAGGAAAACTTGCACGGTTCCATGACTAATCTACAAGAGAAGTCTGTCTGATATAACAAAATGTACTCTGTTTTAAGGGGTTTTGGATACACAGAGTTTGTTGCTAGTGAGTGACATGCAGGCTGTGCATCCATAGTGAACCACTAATCACAATCCTTCTTGATCAGTTTATCAAACAACCAAAGCAGGCTAGTCGTCGACCACAACCTGAAAATGAGCGAGGAACAGGAGAAAAACACCAAAAAGGAAGATTTGGTTGCTGAAAGAAAAGCAATTATTTCAGCTACAGAAAGGATGATGTTGACCAAAAACAGGTACTTTCTCGACAGTGCCTTGCAATTGTTGCCACAACTCAAGGCAACATGACTGATTTGTTTGCTCATTTAAACCGGAACACAAAGATCTGTATGACAAGTGCAAAGCCAGATCTGAATGCCATCCAAAGCAAAAAACTGTTTGGATGCCTTTGTTGACTTCAGAGTAAGAAGTCATTTTTCAGCTTTTTTCTACTATTATTTATATATTCTCTGCAGATGCACTCCCCCAAAAAATCACCCCAATCATTCTAGAATGATTAAGTCTATCCAAATAGAGATATTCAACTCATCTGTTGAAAATTCCTGCATTTTTTTCATATTACAATATATATATGAAAAAAAATATTGCAATGTCAATTTTTTCCAATATCGTGCAGCACTAAGGAATATACGGTCAATTCTGTAACTACTGGCAACCTTGCTAAAGATGAGCGAACAGGTTGTACAAGATTAATACAAGCCAGTGTGGTATATTCTAACAACAATTATTCAAATGAAAATTAAAAGCAAACCACTCTCTGAATGTATTGCTGGCCATGCCTATCAATAGTGTATGGGTCATTCCATGCCAACTGATCCAGATTCAGAACTTTTCCCGGTTCATGTCATGGATTTTCTAAAAAAAAAATGAATGTAAAAACTTCTATTAAATTTATAGGACCTTGCAAAATCCAACAGCTCTGCTCCAAATACTTTTTTAGGTATACATTTTGAAGTTTGACCCTCAGAGCTAAATTTGATCATTTTTGTATGTGTATTCTAAGTCTCATCAATTGCTCATTTTTCGCTGGATTGGGTTGAAATTTGTACTGATCTTCCAAGACACCCAAAGGATCATTTGCAACAAGTATTCATGTAGATAGTTGTCGCCGAATTTTTACAGTAATCAAATTAATAGAATCTTAAGAATATTTAATTTTCAAAAATTAATATATCCACTAGTTTTCACTTTCTTGAAACCAAATTTAGATTCTGTGTTGTATTAATATAGTTCTATCACATCTAGAAGTTATTCGGTACTGCATAAAAAACTGAGCGCCACAGATCTTGCTAAGTATAGCTTCGGAGATGAAAAACACACTTTTTAAGATATTTTGACTGTATATTTTCCCAAGAAGGATGATTTCATTTTCCTTGGGAAAGTATTAATAATCATTGCAGATATACAAAAAAAGATGTTATATTACTCCTTCATCATTCAACAATTTTTTTAAAATAGCTAATTTTCTGTACTTTTCACTGGCTGTAACAAGGTCCCATGAAAATCCACGACATGAGGTCCTAGGTCATTTGGTATGGAATGACCTATGTGCAAAACTTTTATTTGGAGAAAAATAAATAAGCAAAATGTCCATGCGTCCATCCGCATCAGTGTTCTGACCAACATAAACAGCTAATAAATCCTTCAACTTCGTTTCTGCGCAGAAGTCTACGACAAGAAACTGCATACTGTTCAAGCTCTGATCAAACTCCCATATGCCGTCAGGAAACAAACAGGCAAAAATGTGTATAAAGAACACATATTTCTCTGTTTGATGTGACACAACATTGGAGAAGAACAAATGAGAGATAAGATGCAGAATGAAGTGTACATATGTTAATGACATGATTGTTTTCAGGTGGATCATGCTAAAAAGGGAAAAATCTAACTCATGGCACACATTTGGTCTCTCTCCTACGTTGAATCCTTTATGACAAGCTACACATTTTAACCGGGCTTTTCATATCACATTTCATATCATATTTCATTCACTTCTTTTTTTTCTGTTTGGTAGATGTTGTCTCTTCTGCATAAAATATCCTGGATAATTTGTCATGAGCACCTTCATTTGCTGTATCCTCAAAAAGCAGATTATACTTATTTTTCATTTGGACAGTGGAGGATCTAGCCAGGTGTGTGGCAGCAGTGGAGTGTTCAGGTGTAACTGTGCTGGTGACGGGACATTACGAGCGCTGAAGATGAAGGATGAGCCGTGGAGGTTTCGGAGAGAGGGGCACCCCCCGGGCCGCTCCCTCAAGCACACCTCTTTGATGATCCTACAAACTTTTACGTCTTTTTTTCCCGTGGTTTATTTTAGCTCATCTTAAAATCAAAGTGCATTGCATGCTGTAAAGAGATGTCGTTATGATTTTGTTAAGCATTACCTGGTTATCCTTCTGTATCTTTTCAGTCTTTTCAAAATATATTGTAACCCAGAGGTGAGATAACCCATGTCTTATAACCCTGTTCTTGTAACCCAGGGGTTGCAGGTTTGATTCCTAGTTTTGGAAATGCCATAATGCCATAAAATGGATAGTGTGTAATATGTACATCGCTCTGGATAAAACTGTCTGCCAAATGCCCTAATGTAAATATAATAATGAATCAATTCAAATCTAAATTCACACATTAATGATCACAAATCCTGCACTGACATAAAATGTTGCACCCAGGATCCTTGGAGGATGTCCTATATGGGCCAGGGCAGAACAGGCATTAAAACCTGGAGACACATGCAGGGATTCCCATGTGCTGGCAGGCCCATCTGTTCCACAGACATTCCTCTGAAGAGACCTAAGGAGATAGCGGCACCACCTCTGGCAGAGTGAGCACCAACACCCTGCAGTGGTGTGTGGCTAAAACTACCTTACCCTAAGCAGATAGCCTCTTTCAGCCAATGTGAAAACTCAAGCAATGTAGCTTAATTAAACATACACTGCTATTGTATTAGCTATTGTATACAGATGTGCTCCCCCCATTCCTGGAATGCTGGTGTCTATTTTAGTTTCATTTGTAGTCAGTAAAGTGAACCCTCGTTAAACCGGGCTAATTGGGGGAAAGGGAGTACGATGTAACCAGGTGATAAAAAAACACAGAAATCCCACCTCGGCTGTAATATCAAGCCATATTTACTCAGAGTTTGGTGTACAACAATACTCGGACTGTTTAATTAAGTTTGTGATACAATGTGGCACCACTGTAATAGCTGCTAATAACAACGAATATTAAAAGAAAGAGGGAAGAGAGAAAGAGGTAAAGAAAAAATGCCGAGTAAGTAAGGGAAGGAGAGAACAGTGAAAGGTGATAAGAGGTAGAGAAAGGGGAGAAAGAGAGGGGAGTAAAGAGAGAAAAAGAAGATGACAGAACAGTGTAAGGGAAAGAAAAAGGGGAATTTTAACCAATATTAACCAGAACAGACCACACATGCTGTTGCAGCAGAAACAGTCCGGTATTATCATAATCCATTTTAACGTGGTCCACTATAACAAGGGTTTACTGTATGTCAGTTATTCCACCTTAAGTTAGGACAGTAGTATAGCATAACGGTTAGAGGGTGAGGTTTTCAACCTCCAGGTTGCAGGTTCGACTTGCAGTAAGTACACTGCTGTTGTACCCTTGAGAAAGTTATTCAACCGTAATTTCCTCAGTAAATATCTAGCCGTTTGAACAGTGTGTAGAAACTTCTAAATCACTCTGGATAAGGGCACCCGCTATATGTTTTGCGAACTGCTTTTGCTCATTCGCACTTATATCACGGAATCACATTTTACACACGTAATCAAGAAATTACCAAGGATAGATGTTCACTCTGAGGCGGTATCTCAAGACTTTATCAAAAATGTCAGATCAAAGGAATTACTGGGCTAATTAAATAATTAGGAGCAGGAGCTGGCATGAAATCTTAAACAGACGCACCAAGCACCAGCGTTAATATCCGATACTGTGCTTGCTTCTACTAACCACGGTGACTAATAAAGGAGCTTTTAGTCTTGGTTTCTTTTTTCAGTGTCATTATAGCCCCATCTGAGAAGTCTGGAACTGCTGGAGAACCATTTTAACACTTACCGAGTCTCAGAAGAGGGTGTGATATACGATTTAAACCTTCGCATATACATTCAAATAGCTCAGATAAACACTTCTCTTTTTTGGGAGCTCTCACTTAACACCTTTTTTTTTTAAATTCCAATTTGACATTTTTTGGTCTATCAGACATCATTTTCTAACAGTCACTTTGCTGCCAGACTGTTTTTATTCAGTCTGTTTTGAAATATCCAAAATGTTTCTTTATTCCTGGTTTTCCATTCAAATATCCCTGCTCTGAATTTGAGGTTATTACACATCATGTAGTTTGCCTGAGGCTCTGTTGGTCAGAAACTTGGGCCCCTGGGAAAGTTTTGGATGAAAGTCTTCGAAATTAATTTCTTCATTTTTTCATGCGTTTCTGTCCAGTGTTATTTTCTTAATAATCCATGCCATAATCCTTGTATTAAACCTTGATAGAAATGAATATAAGATGATATTCGCATGAAAACACATTGCCATATGCCTTTCTCATAACAATTCCCCGGTACTCAGTGGTCGATTTGTAAAAAAAATTCAAGGGGGATGGTCAACCTCGGAGTGGATGGATGGTAGTTTATGCCTACACTTTTTTTATATTCATACATAATCATAAGAAAAAAAGACAGGAAATTGACGTAACTCATATTATTAATACAGAACTATAAAAAACTATCAAATTATTTACTAAATTATTTTATTGATATAATTACAACAATAATATTACTAGTGTGGGATTTCAAAAACAGACCTCTACACTATCACAACTGCATACAAGTTACTGCTTAATATACCTTTTACATTCAATACGTCAAACTCTCATTACGATCTAAAATCGGTCATGTTATTTCAAGCAAATCACATGTTGGTTTGCTCACAAATGAACAGGTTAGCTGCCAAGCAATATATATAAAATGTTCACAAACACGTGAACATGCTATTATCTGTGACAGTCTCATTCAAGATTAAGCATTGGCTGAGCTGTTGCCAATGTTTTGTTACCCGTTAAGGGACATATTAAGTATTAATAATGCATGAGACTGGTTATCATCTCACCTGTTGATTTCCTCTTCTTCTCTAAAAAACTTGTGAGGTCTTGCTGAACTGGTCACTTAGCCATTTTAACCTGTAGCATCTGCAAAACTCATGGTGAAGTTGCATCAGCCAATGAGAAGCATGCATTTGCAGGCTCCAATCAAATAAGCAATAAGCAATCAAAATAGGATAGAAAACAACACAAACCGGAGTGCAAATAACGTAAGATTGACATTTAAATATCACTGAGGTTTCATCTTTTAGCAATAAGGCAATAAATAGCATAGCTAATTCCATTGAAAAAGAAAAGGGGACGGGAAGGAAGAAGACAATTTTACAAAGGGGATGGCTGTGGGCAAGATTTTTTCCAAGGGGGAAGGCATCCCCCGCATGCCCCCTCAACTCGAGCCCTGCTTGTACTGCTTACTCCTTTCCCTCGGAGGGTGAGGCCACCTGGATCATGACCAAAGCCTAGACCCAACAAATACAGGAAGTGAATGGTCGCCACGGTTTTCAGTAGTTTGAAATGTGCTCATTCCTACTTCTACACCCCACTGTCACCAAGCCTTCTCCCAGTCTGCTCTATAATCACCCAGTCTTCCCAGGCTTGGTGCACACACTATTTCTCTAAGGGTGTCATACTCAGCTCACGGAGCCAGGTTACCAAGGAGTCGGGCAGGCTGGGCCTCGAGATCAAGTATCTTGACCTCTAAGTGCTCAACTAACGACCTCAGAGTGCTCAACAGCCTGCAGTAGTCAAAGACAAATTCATCCTAGAGGTCTCCCACCAAGAAACGTAATCATGCAACAACTCCCACATAATTTTAGCTACATATTAACCCATAGCTAATTAAATGCTTGCCATAAATGAGAAAATACTGCAGAGACAGTAATACCAGCTAAAAAGGTTAGAAATTACACAAAAGGACTACTACATATAAAAAAGCGATCCATTTTGTAAAAGCTGGAGGGAAAAGTGCAACAATATCCAGACTCAAATTATCTGATATGTGCAATCACTTAAAGAACAGGAACTATGTGTAGCCTGAATATAAAAAACAACAAGAGAGCTAGGTATCGTATACTACATTTCTTGCTTATTAATTATTAATTAGCAAGGCAGGATGGGGGTGGGGGGTATTGGGGGGTGGGTGGTTAGCAGAGTCAAATCAAGAATGAAAATTATTCAGAGAGAAGTTTGGATAACAAATCCAGTGTCCTTATGTCTTATGTCTGTCTTATGTCCTTATTTATGTCATAAATCACTGTTTTAAGGGCTACTCAGTTTTAAATATAGACCTACTGATGCGAAATATAGGTCTACCTTAAACACTGCAATGGATAATATCTTTTGTCTATTTATTTACATTTTAGATTGTAAGTTCTCATTAAATTCACTTTTTAAATATGTATTCATATACTGATTTGAGGGAGCCTTGAGGGGCCAAGAGTATCGGTTGGTAGGCAGGATGCATCCTGCAGGCCGCCATTTTGTGTCCACTGATCTTGAACATACATGACCACGGGCTTGGTGGCTCAGTATTGCTGCTCAGTATTTCTGTCTGATACCACTTCATTAGTCATCCCACAAGTACAACATACCAAACTCTTGAGTTCATCAGATTTCTACAGGTTAGACGCTATGGGGTCTAACGATTATGTTAATTTTACTCTTTGTGGGGGGTGATCAACAAAGAGTCGTTATGTAAATGACTCTGGGTGGACTCTTCCCTCTTTATGGTTTCATTTGCATTTGTACTTGCTTTTTAATTGTGAGGGGGGCAGGGGGTGCTGTTGATTTGATGTGGAAGCTGCTGTTGAATGGATTACGTAAGAAACTATACAACCATACTCCACCAACAACCTTCTATTTCTTAATTATCCATATCTAAAGAAAGTGCAATTAGCCACGGTCTGCATGCTACTTTTCTCTCAGATTTTATAAACTACTGAAATAAAGAAAAAAAAACATGTTTCATGTAAAAACATCTCTGTTTCACTCATAATAGTCGGCACATAAAATTTGTTTGACTTTCTGTAATTCTGCATATGACTAAGAATAGACTGTAATGCCATGTCAAGAGCAGGCAATGATTATTAGCTATCTGCACAGTTCTGTATTTCTTTGTACTTCGATATAATACGAAGTAAGTATACATGTTTTGATGGCTAGAAAGGTTGTTCTGAACATTTACACTTACGTGTTATCAGAATTTAGCTTTGTCTCTTGAGGATAACTCAGCCTTACCCCAATTTTCTCATTGATCAGAGCCCTCCCCTACAGCCGAATGTCAACCATGGAACAGTAACGTGACCCTAGTAGGTTAGAAGGGACTATTTTACCATAGTCTTAATTTTCAAATTTACTTAATAATCGCATTTCACAATCCATCTACTTCATCACATAATCTGTACTAGTTTGTGAGGATGAATAAACATAAACTTGAGGAAAAAAATGTTCATCTATTTGGAAAATTGAAACTGAGGCATGCGGTCATCTTTGATGTAATGCTATTGATGTGAGGTCACCGCGAAGTTGTTGGATCTCATCTAGATTAAGGCTCGCAGATGACAAAGGTAAGGAAACTGACGGTAGGGTTCCGTCAAGTTCTAATTATTGTCAGCCTACGGAGGTTGTACAGTCAAACCCTCTCAAGTCAAGTCTCAAAGGAGCGGAACGCAGGTACCTTATTAGGTGAATGTTGGTAATGCTCTCCTAAGGATGACAAAAAAAAAAAATCTCCAACATGGATATGCAAATTACTTTTCACAAGCTTTGCATACGAGTTCCTTTATATCATTCCCCTGGCAAACTAATGTGATGTAACTGCTGTGTACCTCCTCCTGGTGAAACTCTACACTGTTGTGTAAGCATCTAAATTGAAACATCTATCACTTGAAATATTGACTTTAATATCTCATTTGAAAAATTCATGAAACCTTTGATGCTAAATCCATACTCAATTTAGCCAAATGCCATTAAAATATGCAGGGGAGACGGCATTATTGTCTGTGTTTCTGCAAAGAAATTACGTTTTATGACCATGAGTCTAAGATCCTGTTTTTTTTTTTTTTCCATGAGCAAAGAAAGCAGAAGTAGCCCATTAGAAGTGAAATGAAAAGTGATATTGATTGGGCTCTCATTTCTGCACTCTTTGCCTCATTTCCTAAATACATAGTAATAAGGGCTTAGCAACTGCAACTAACAATAAGCCTTAATGAATGGAACTATCTATAAGGAATTAGAGTGAAAGCACATGATGATTCACAGATGGTTCGGCGAGCCGACGCAATGCATTCTGTTTGTTGTTTTTCTGTTTCAGTCTCCATTTACCTAGAGCCTCATCTTTTAATGGCTTCATATTGTAAACATGGCAATATATTGTGATTTCAATACAAAGAATCTTGGGGGCTGTCAGTATGGGCACGGAATTGAAGTTTTAAAGTAACAGCACGTTAGAATTAGATTTCTTCTAGTTAATCACGATCAAAAGCAGCCCTTATG